CGAACCTCCCTGGATCGAAAACGCCTTGAGCAGACGTGGCGGCGGGCGCGGGGCTTCGCCGCCGCGAGAGCGCCCAAGGGCCCGAGATCGATAGTTCGGGAGTGGCACGGCCTCCTTGCGAATTCCAGGAAACTACCCCAAACGACTCAATCAGAGAAAACGGGACTCTCCACGAATTCAAAATCTTAGTGTGCAAGCCTGGGAGCACAAAAGACGGCTCCTCGCACGACGAGCTGGAGGAGGAGGAGGCGGAGGAGGAGGACGAGGATGAGGGAGGAGATGGGCCTGGGTATGGTTCAGGAGGGCTAGGGATGACTGGAGCTTTTCTGTCTCACCACGGCGGCGATGCCTGCCCATGGTGTGCGCGGCCGTGGCAAACGGGCTAGATCGGGCCCCCTCCGCCTCCTCCACCTCTCATTCCCTCGCCTCCTCCCCCCCCATATGATGTTTCTCTTTTGTGGCCCTGAGGTCCCTTCGGGCCACGGCAACTCTCTGCTGAGCTTCGCGTGCTCTCATGGTCTTCAGCCCCTCAAACACATACGCCTGGCGACGAGCGCGTATAGGGCATGTAGGGCTTGTGAGGCTGATGGGGCTTGCGGGGCTGCTCGTACTTATAAAGCCCATCGGGCTCATAGGCTTATAGAGCTGGTCCATAGGGTTTGCGGGGCTTGTCGGGTGCTCACGGTGCTTTAGGTGCTTATGCGCTGTATAGGGCGGATGGGGCTTATAGGGTTTATAAGCCGCATAGGCATTGTAGGGCTCGTACGGCTTATGGCTTATACAGCTTTTAGGGCCTATAGTGTGTCTCGGGTTGTTGTTGCCTATATGTATTATAATGCTGATAGGGCCCATGAGACTTATAGGTTAACAGGGCCTCTCGGGCTTATGAGCTGATCGGGTTCGTAGGGCCCATGGGGAATATCGGCGTTGCATGGCCTCCTACCACGCGGATCGCACCACATGGGCCGCACCACCTAGATTGCACTACACTGTTTGCACCACCTAGATTGCACCACATTGGCACCACATTGGCGGCAACAAATCACAGTTTTGGAGTCCACGTTGGCCAATATGTTTAACTTGATTCGCTTGCGCGGCGACGCTCGGGCACCGCGCGCTGGGCCCGTGCCTTCTGTTTGGCTTTCGCCTGTGCACGCGCCCTCTGCTTAGGGAGGGGCCGTGCAAAAATCTGCTCCACACGATGCGCCATGCCTGGCACCACAAACGCTGGCAAAGCCTGGGGTGACCGCGCATCCAGCGCCCCGCCAGACTCCGCGAATGTTCGCAGCATGGGGACAAGGACAGCGGCGATCAAGGCAGGGGGGTAGGCATTCCCCGATGCCTTCAGACAAAGACCCCAACTACTTAGCTGGGCGCACACATCTGGGGGAAATCCCTGGACAGCCATCCTTTCTGAGGCGGTCAACCATCTGGAAAATCGCCTCTCATTCAACGGCGTAGACCTACTTGCCTCCCCCGCATCAATGACGTATAAATATCTGTTGCGGGAAGTCAAAGTCGGGCACATGTTCACGGTCTGACCAGAGGTAAACACCCCGTGCAGCGGGCGATCAGAACCGATGACAATCAGGTCCGTGGGCCTCAAAATACCACTCTCCACCTTCTGTTTGATCAAGAGCTCGTGCTCAATGACATTCTGCCTCTGTGGCCCCGTGAGGTCCGAAAGCGGCGTAGGCGGAAAGTCGCCCAGGGCGCCTCTGAGCTCCCGACGCCCAAACGGCGCAAGCACTTTAGGGATCGCACTCACCAGAGACGTCCGCATCCCGCGAATGAACAGTCGATGCCTTGTCTGCGGCAGCCCGTGCGCCGCGGACCCCCCCCAAAGAGGGGCGAAAGCATATCAAGGAAAGCTTCCCAGCAACGAATGGGGGGGGGGCCGGGGGAGCGCATGGGCGCCATGGATGCTCCGCCTCTAAGATGTCATGGCGCCAGTGGAACTCGGGCGCGAGCCTCCGCAGTGTCTCCAGGAACCGACATGGGGGCGGAGCAGAGGCTTAAAATGAGCCAGGAAGGGGGATGGAGTCAGAGGAGAGAGAGAGAGAGAGAGAGAGAGAGAGAGAGAGAGAGAGAGAGAGAGAGAGAGAGAGAGAGAGAGAGAGAAGAGAGAGAGAGAGAGAGAGAGAGAGAGAGAGAGAGAGAGAGAGAGAGGAGAGAGAGAGAGAGACGAGAGAGATAGAGAGAGAGAGAGAGGAGAGAGAGAGAGAGAGAGAGAGAGCGAGAGAGAGAGAGGGAAGAGAGAGAAGAGAGAGAGAGAGAGAGAGAGAGAGAGGAGAGAGAGAGAGATAGAGGAGAGAGAGAGAGAGAGAGAGAGAGAGAGAGGAGAGAGAGCGAGAGAGAGAGAGATGAGAGAGAGAGAGAGAGAGGAGAGAGAGAGAGAGAGAGAGAGAAGAGAGAGAGAGAGAGAGAGAGAGAGAGAGAGAGAGAGAGAGAGAGGAGAGAGAGAGAGAGAGAGAGAGAGAGAGAGAGAGAGAGAGAGAGAGAGAGAGAGGAGCAGAGAGAGAGGAGAGAGAGAGAGAGAGAGAGAGAGAGAGAGAGAGAGAGAGAGAGGAGAGAGAGAGAGAGAGAGAGAGATGAGGAGAGAGAGAGAGAGAGAGAGAGAGAGAGAGAGAGAGAGAGGAGAGAGAGAGAGAGAGAGAGAGAGAGAGGAGAGAGAGAGGGAGAGAGGAGAGAGAGAGAGAGAGAGAGGAGAGAGAGAGAGGAGAGAGAGAGAAGAGAGAGAGGAGAGAGAGAGAGAGAGAGAGGGAGAGAGAGAGAGAGAGAGTGAGGTGGAGGGGGGCGAGGAGGGGGAGCCAGTGCGGAGGAGGAGGAGGAGGAGGGGGAGAGGGAGGGGGAGAAGGAGGAGGGAGAGGAGGGGGAGGGGGTTCACTGCCACCTGGTCAATGCCGACACCCGCCCGGCACGTTCTTGCGCCAGGCCAGTCACATTTTCCAGCACGCACCCCCATAATCCTCCGCAGCGTATCAATATAATAATCCACTGGACGATTCTGACGAAGACAAAGGATCGGTCATCCGCAAAACCTGAGTGCGCTCCAGTCCCCGCCCATGGCGGGCACGGTGGCCCTGTGACCAGAAGGTCTACTGGGCGCTCCAGGTTCTCGAAGGGCATCTGAGCGAGGTCGCCCGCCTGGGGGGGATTGGGGCGCGCGTCGGGAAAATGCAGGTAGCGCCCCGCAATTGCGGATGAGACTGAGGACGCGGGTGGGCGAGCGTGGCGCCTGCGAACCTTTTGCGACCCACCCGCTTCGCGACCCGCCCGCGACCCATCGGCCCCGCGAGGGGCCCGAAAGCCCGTGGGGGCCCCAGAGGCAAAAGGGAGGAGGGAGGGTAAATTTTCGGTCGGAGGGAAGGGCCCAATATGGCCCCATGACGGTTCCAAGAGGCCTCCAGGACGGATCCTTCAGCCACCCACCCAGGGACATTGGAAGACCGTTCAGCCCCTCACTCTGATAACCGAATCATTTTTTTGGGGGTGGGGGGGCACGGCCAGGCGCCTCCCGGCCAAGGTGGAGCTCGCCCTCGATCGAAAACTGTCTGAGCCAGCTTCCGTGCCCCTCCTCCAGATCCCAGCAATTGTTGTAACTGCTGGGGATGCCCAGCGCCTCTAAACACACGCCGCACCCGTTGATTCCGATGCAGGGGCTCGCGACGCGGAGGCGCCTGCCGAAATTCGGTACCCAGCCAACGAGGCCGCGAAGATCCCACGGCCTAGGTGTGGCCGCGGCTTCTTCCTCGGCTTGTCGCCTCCAGTCCGCCATTGATGTCCGCCGAGCCGGGCCAGTCGGACTCTTGGGCAGCACGGCCACTGGGGTGATGGGGGCGAGCCCCCCGTCGAATCGTTGGGGCCCCATCCATGCAGCGCTCCTCGGATCACCACTCGAAGTCGCGAGCCGCTCACCCTTTGGAGGGCCGAGCGTCTCCGAATGGGGAAGCACGAATTGGCCGCAGGGCGTGGGGGCCGAACGACTCGGAGAGGGTTCCGAACGACGTGTGAGGCGAAGTAGGGCTTCTCGGGACCTCAAGGGGGCCACGACGCGGCTCCTACAGGACCGTTGATGGTGTTGATGTTGCTTGGTTTGCTGTTCTGGGGGGGGTGCGCCCCCCCTGAGAGGCGTAAAAACATTTGTTGTTTTGACCTCGCTCACCTCCCTCTCTCCAGAAAGCGGAGTCACCGCCACGCAGGTGGCCGATCAGAGGCGCTGAAGGGGGAGGTACGGTGCAGGTACGGTGTAGGTACGGTGTAGGTACGGTGTAGGTACGGTGTAGGTACGGTGTAGGTACGGGGTAGGTACGGGGGAGGTACGGTGTAGGTACGGGGTAGGTACGGTGTAGGTACGGTGTAGGTACGGTGTAGGTACGGGGTAGGTATGGGGGAGGTACGGTGTAGGTACGGGGGAGGTGCGGGGGAGGTACGGGGGAGGTGTGGGGGAGGTTTTTTTTGGGACAGTGCTTTGGATTTCCACCCCGAATCTTACATAGAATTTTTGAAACACCCCAAGAATCCACCATGATTTTGTTTCCGCGGTCGGCGGGCGGCGATGCGGAGGCGAGGGAGCGGTGCTAGCCGATCATGAGGAGGAGGAGGAGGAGGAGGAGGAGGAGGAGGAGGCCCTCCCCCTCCCCAATCCCGCCCGCACCTCCCTGGCGGACAAGAGCACCAACACCGTCGGGCTCCAGAAACTGGCTTTCGCCACGCCGCCGAGCGAAGGGAAGTGTTGGGAGGTACTGAAGAGGGGGTGGGCTTCGCCCCTCCGGGGAGAGGGGGAGGAGGAGTAGGAGGAGGAGGAGGAGGAGGAGGAGGAGAAGGAGAACGAGGAGGATAAGGAGGAGGAGGAGGAGGAGGATCTTCCAGGCTAGCTGGCTACAGCGCGGGGGCAACGCCACCCGCCGCGTTTCTTCCTCAGGGCGCGCGCGAGCTATGACCACCGCGCATAGCTCTAGAAGCCTAGAGGTCCAAGACAGTTTCAATCGTCAGTCGCCTCAGTCAGCCTTGTGCTCCTCCACGAGGCTCAAGATGCGGGCAGCGATCGCCTCCGCGCGCTCGATCGTCTCGTCGATGGTGTTCGTCAGCTCGGCCATATCGTTCTTGGAGACCTGGTTGCAAGCCTTGATCTTCTCAACGTTGCCCTGCAGGGAGGTCAGCTCGGCCTCAACCTTGGTGAGCTTCGTGAAGAAGTGGCCTGGGACGGCACCCTCAGCGTCGGGCGCTTTACCTTTCGCCTGGGCCTCTGCGACGTTCACCTTGCACTGCCCGATCCTCTGCTTGAGCGACTCGAGCTTCTTCTTCACGGGCCCAGTGAGGGCTTTCTTCGCCGAGGCCTTGCCCTCCTCGTCGTCGTCAACCTCCTTCTTTTTGGGCGCCTTCTTCGACTTGATGTCCACCTCGGCCTTGCGCTTGCGGATGCTCTCGCGGACGTGCTCGTTCTCCTGCGTGTCTTTGTACTCTGGGATCTGCAGCATGTCGACGCCGCGCACGGGGCAGTGAATCATCTTGGCGTGTTTTTTAATGTTCTCCCACTGCTTTGGCTTGTTCTTGTACTTCTCTTCCGCCTCGTCGTAGTCAATGTATGCGCCGCCCTGCACGGTCTTCACGACGACCCGAGTAGTCTCAGCCTGCTGGACGGTCTCTTGGATCGTCTTCATGAGGTCGGCCCCGAAAGCGGCGTGCGCATCGCGCATGAAACCAACGCGCTCGTCGGGAGTCAGGATGTCGAGCTCGCTGGCCGCACCGAGGCGCTGGATGCGGCTCTTCAAGCGGTTGCAACTCGTGCACCGAAACTGGTCCCTGCCATTCTGCACGCGGCTGCACTGTCCCTGAGGGACGTCCAACTTGCACGAGCAGCAGGTCTGGATGCCGAGCGACGGGTGCTCGGTCAGTGCCTTGCTGGAAAACGAAAATAGGCAGGGCCTTCGATGATGGGCTGCCCATCAGGTTTTCACGTGCAAAGCTACTGTCGTCTCTCCTCCTCCTCCTCCTCCTCCTCCTCCTCCACCTGTTTTTTTCGCGCCTCGTGGCTCTTCCCTCCCCCCCATCCTCCACGTCCTCTCACGTTGACTGCCCGGCCACCTCCACGGCCGCCTGTACCGCCCTGCCGCCCGACGAGGCTTGCTCCACGCCCGCCATCTCGGCTGTCGCTGCCGCCGCCTGTGGGATTGCTGCGAGATCGCAGCTGGGCTTGCCAATCCAGGTCGCGGCGAAGCCTGCGACGTTGAGCCTAAAAGCTCTCGCAAGGCCTGCAAGAGGGCTCCACGTGGGGTAGGCTGTACGAGGGCAATGGATGAACCCTAAGTTGTGTGAGACCTCCTGGGGCCCTCTTGGGGGCTTGTTGGAGCGACCAGCCAGCGTGCTCAAACAGGCTCCCCCTGCGCCCTCCTGGGGCCCTCGTGGGGGCAAGTCGCGCGACCTCCTCTTAGGGCATTATAAGAGAGGGCCCCCTAGGATGCCCTCTGGGGCCCTATTCGCGCCCACCAGGGCCCCGCCGTTGCCGCGCCGTTGCCATGCCGTTACCATGCCGTTCCCATGCAGTCGCCATGCCGTTGCCATGCCGTTGCCATGCCGTTGCCACGCCGTTGCTATGCCGCTGGCGTGCCGTTGCCATGCCGTAGCCATGCCGTAGCCATGCCGTAGCCATGCCGTTGCTATGCCGTAGCCATGCTGTAGCCATGCCGTTGCCATGCCGTTGCCATGCCGTTGCCATGCCGTTGCCATGCCGTTGCTATGCCGTTGCCATGCCGTTGCTATGCCGTTGCCATGCCGTTGCCATGCCGTCGCCATGCCGATGCCAGCCCCAGATCTTTAAAAAACTAAGAACCCCAAGAGGTCCCCAGGAGGGCTCCAAGATGGTTCCGAGGGTGACGAAAAACAAGATCCCGCGGCATCTTGCTCTCTGTCCATCTCGGCCCCCCCTGGAGCCGTCTTGGGGGCCTCTCGGGGCCGCCTTGGGGCCCTCTTGGAGGCCTCCTAGGGCTCCAAGATGCTCCCAAGAGTGACGAAAAGCAAGATGCCGCGGCATCTTGCTCTCTGTCCATCTCGGGACCCCCCTGGAACCGTCTTGGAGGCCTCCTGGGGCCTCCTTGGGGCCCTCTTGGAGGCCTCCTGGGGCCCTCTTGGGGCCCCAAGAGAAGAGGGCCCCAGGAAGGCTCCAAGATGATTCCAAGAGTGACGAAAAGCAAGATGCCGCGGCATGTTGCTCCTTGTTCATCCAAGCAGTGCTTGCTTGCATTTAAGGAGCAGCAAGAGTGGTCCCGAGAGAGCCACAAGAGCGTTTCGTGAGGCTCCTGGGGGGGCCCGAAGGGGTTCCGAAAGCGCCCCAAGATGACACTTTGAGGATTGCCGAAGGACTGCGAAGCCTGCCCTTACAGGAAAACTCTGCAGTAGGACCTGTTTTTTCCAGAGCGTGGCAGCGCGGCGCGAGCGCCGACTGAATTGATCCGTGCGTGGGCTAGCCACGCGGGGCAGCACGGGCGCACCATGCTTCGTGACAGTGGCCAGCTCTGTATGCCCAGGCAAGCCAAGCGGCCGCTTCGGCGCGATCAACCATGTCAGGGGAGAACTGCAAGGCCCCGCCAGGCCGCCGCGTGACGGCCCAGCTGTCCCAGTGCCCGAACCATGGCCAGGATGGGTCGAACTCTGCAGATCGCGGGAAAAGCGGGTCGCCGTCCAGTGCCATCTGGAGCCGCCTGCGATTCGCCTCCAGCCGCGCGCACGCGTCGGCTTCTCCTGCAAGCTGCACTCTAGCGGGTTCTCCAGCATGCGGGCGGTCAGCGTCGACGGTATCGACGTCCATGAACGTGGGAGTGATGTCGGCTGGCTCTGCCAATGTGCCAATCTCGCACGATCGATCTCCAGCCGCATGTACATCAGAGGCGCACTCCGCGCCGTTGGGGGCTGGCTCTGCCAATGTGCCAATCTCGCATGGTCCATCTCCAGCCGCATGTACATCATGATCAGAGGTGCACTCCGCGCCGTTGTCGGCTGGCTCTGCCAATGTGCCAATCTCGCATGGTCCAGCTCCAGCCGCATCTACATCATGATCAGAGGTGCACTCCGCGCCGTTGTCGGCTGGCTCTGCCAATGGGCCAGTCTCGCCCGAACCATGTCCAGCAGCACGTAGATCGGGAAGGCTGCCGCCACGCAGTACCAGGCACGCTAGCTCGTGCGCCTCCTGGAGCCGCTCCTTCGGGCCTCGCACCGTTAGTGTTCGACGTGGCCTGCCCCTCACGCTCACTTTGCAACCAGTCGCCAGGAGTATCTGCCTTACTCCATCCGCGAAGATGGTGCCCGATTCTAGAACGAATGGGCCCAGGAAGCCGTCGCTGCTCTCCTGCTGGGAGGAACCCATGCTTGAGCAAGAACGGCAGCGGAATCGATTCCCGCATGGGGGTCTTGCCAGGCGGCGAAGCCTGCCCGGCACGACCCCCCAACGGGAGGGCAGGGCGGCCTAAGGCGGCCAGGGCGGCTGGGGGAGGCAGGCGGAGGCAGGAGGTTGAGGCATGAGGAGAAGGAGAACGAGGAAAAGGACTCAGGGCGAGGAGGAGAAGGCAGGAGAAGGCAGGAGGAGGAGGAGGAGGACGACGAGGCAGGATGATACTATCAGACTAACATCGGAGATGCTCATGCGAGATCCTACGGTCTGAGTAGACTGCTGACTATAGCTGGGATTCTATCGGGGCCACTCGGGGCTTAGCTGGGATCCGATCGGGGCCTCTTGCGGTTCTTCTGTCAGGCCGTCTTGGGGTCATTTCGAAGCCCCTGGGCCTCCCGCGGGGGGTGGGGCAGGGACGAGCCGTCCTGCTGCGTTTTCGCTCCTCCTGCCCCTGCGATTCTTCCCCCTCTTCCTCCTCCTTCCCCCTCGCCCTCCTCCCTTTCCCTACCCTGTTTTTGTCTAGCGCACTGGCAAGCAGGGGTGGATCGCGCCTTGAGTCTTGACCCGCGGCACTGCTGACAGGACGCTCGCCAACTGAAACACGCACCGATATCCCGAATTAGCATAACATCCATCGCCTCTCGGAGACAACACCGAGAGCTCAACTGCAAACCCTCCCCCCCTCGCCCTCCTCCCTTTCCCTGCCCTGTTTTTGTCTAGCGCACTGGCAAGCAGGGGTGGATCGCGCCTTGAGTCTTGACCCACGGCACGGCTGACAGGACGCTGGCCAACTGAAAAACACACCGAGATCCCGAATTAGCATACAGTCCATTGCCTCTCGGAGACAACACCGAGAGCTCAACTGCAAACCCTCCCCCCCTCGCCCTCCTCCCTTTCCCTAACCTGTTTTGTCTAGCGCACTGGCAAGCAGGGGTGGATCGCGCCTTGAGTCTTGACCCACGGCACGGCTGACAGGACGCTGGCCAACTGAAAAACGCACCGAGATCCCGAATTAGCATAACATCCATTGCCTCTCGGAGACAACACCGAGAGCTCAACTGCAAACATATGTGCACCCGATACGATTACCCTATAGAAACAGATTGCACGCCCGATATACATGCGACCATTGTGGTCCACGGCCAAGACGTCCCCCGCAGTGAGATTACCGATGACGGATCGGACTGATGAACATTTCATTGCTGTCGGGGCCGCGCCCGGGTACACTGCTAAGACGGCTGGTGGCGTAGTCAGCCTCTGAAGCCCTGTGGCGCAGTACTCTGACATCAAGAACTTCTCGTCTTCAAAAAACGTGAAGAAATGCCCCGGGATTCGTCGAACCAGCATGGCTTGACCAGCCGCGTCATTTACGAGGTATCTTGCAACAGCCTTGATCTCTTTATGTTTCCTCTCCGTGGCAAAACATGAGAGATTTACTTTCTTGGCCTCGATTTGGTCAAAGACGTGGTAGAGCTGGTGCACTTTGGGTTTGATAATTGCCAGCCCGTACAACCGAATGAGTCCGCCCGCCGAGGGCGGCCGTAGCGGGCCGTTGCATTTTCAACACTCGTTGGAAATACGCTCGCGCAGGAAAGCGGCGACGGTTGCCCGCCTGGCAGCATCCAGGCCCTCTCCCTCCCCCGCGCAGGACAGTTGCGACAGTTGCGCGCTTGGTAGCACCCGGGGCTTCGGGCTTCTGTTGTAAAGGATTTCGGGGGCGTCGGTGGATCGCGCCAGCGTCGCTAGCTTCACGGTGGTGCTGCACCGCCACGCTTCTGAGGCGGCCCGCGTGGCTCACAGCGCCGTCCCCGAGGCCTGACGGAATACCGAACATCCTTCCTCCGCCTCTCCATCCCCTCCTTCTCCTGCCTCCCACCCCCCACTCCCTCCCCCTCTTCCGATTCGCCCCTGGGGCGAATGTGGCGGGCGACTTGGGGGAGGAGGAAGCCATGATACATGGGGGGTCGTTTCCCTGCAGGCGGCCGAGCAATTGGACTATCTCGCGCAGCAGCTGCAAGCAACCGCGCTCGGCCACGAGCAGCCCCATGGGGGCCAGCAGGGTGTCCGAGAACAGGGTCGCCACCTCAACAACCATTAACGCATCGCTTGCAAAGCCTTTCAAGTGCCCACCATTTTCTGCCAAATGATACTTGAACCACTCCTTGCCCAGGCAAGCCGTTTTGGATGGCCATGCCACCGATCTCTGAAAAGCGTCCAAGTCAGATATGTCAAACACTGGTTTGGCATTGCCATCTTTTATTGCCAGCACTCTGTGAAAAAACGAGTTCAGATGGTATTGCCCAACCCCTCCCGATGCACAGAGCACGTGCGTCCAGTCTTCGTACATGTGCCGCATTGGCTTCACGTGCGCTCTCATCGATGCGTCGAAAATGAGTCCGTGAGGGTCGTATGTTATCCCAGTCGTCTGTTGAAGGTTTGCGAAATGCGTCTTCAACGAGACGGGCTGTGCCGCGATTATTCTGTCCACTAGATTTTGAAACGACTCGTCGGTATGCATATCAAACTGGCCGGGAACGGCGGTGCAGACGTCCTTGAAGTAGTCGCCCTCCCGTAATCCGCTCACCCTTCTGACAACGTTTTGGCACTTGATGCAGGTCCTCGTGCCAGCAGCACTCCTCAGATTAAACGTCTCGACGTGGGCCTTGTAATCCTGCACGAGGCACAAGAGTACAGCTCTGAACGGGAAGTGCCCAGGGCCGCGCGGTAGCAACAGTCCATCGCCCAAGTTGTGGGGGCCCACAAACATCCATTTCAGAGTTCGCTTCGCGATCGCAGAAAGCCCCCCAGCGATGTTCTCTTGCATCGTCATCGGTATGAACGTCAATGGGAACCACCCTGATTGCCGTGATCGGTACCAGTGTGGAAAACAATTCAGCGTCCAATAAATACATTGAAAGCTCCCTTTGTGATCGTGTCGGTTAGGGTTCCCTGTGACGCACTCGTCTGTATACAAGACGGCGGACTCGAAATCTGCGCCGATGCCCTGCGCGCAGTTGTCCAGGAACCATGCGAATGCTGGGAACACCGAGCAGAGGCAGAACAGTAGTGCCGAAGGGCTCACGTAGGTGAATGTGTATTCACCTCCGTTATCCAAGGGAATCGTCTCTTCACTCACGAGGTCGCCGACTGGCGTCCACAAGTCTGTCGCGGCCACAAGCTCCTGTCTCATGCGATGTCGTGCGACATTATCGTTCGACTCCGCCTCGCCAGCAAGGCGGGCCGCAGCCCGCACCGAGGCGGACAGCCCAGCTCCAACAACGCGGGATTTCTTACTTGGTGGTTCCATATCGAACAACACGCGAGGCTCCAACCTTGCTTCATGAGCCAAAACGGCTATCGTGGTGAAGGGCGGCGAAGCCTGCCTTTGAGAAGGGAAGAAGAGGCAGGAGGAGGAGGAGCACTGATATCAAGGAGGATCGTTCAAATATGAAGGGCCGCGGGGAGCACGGGGCGCACGAAAGAAGCGACAGCTGCGAGCCTGGCGGCACCACCCCCCCCCGCCCCCCCGCGCAGGACAGCGGCAACAGTTGCGCGTCGAGTGAAACTCTTGGCCTATGTTATACATTAAGTGGGCGTCTAGTGGGTGCATTGTACAAATACGTTGATCTACATTATATATATATGGATCCCGAGGATGTCGCGACACCCTTCGCGCCTAGGACCCTGGGACAGTTAGCAAGAGGGCAAATTTCATACATGAGTTTTATGTGTTTGATGTTCCTGTGACTACACCCGCGCGAAACAGATAGGTTTTAGTTGCGAACAGTTGAGGTTCAGTTGTAAGTGTTTTGTATGTGAGTTGCATCCACTTGTGTTAAGTGTCGCGGAACTCAGATACAAGCGCCCAAGTTCCCCCGCCCACACAGCAAGGACCGAAACTGGTGAAAAACGTGCCGTCCTGATCTTTTTTGCACGACGCGCTCAGGTCTGGGGATGCTCTCGTCCCCTCGCGAGCCCTGCGGCCTGGAAGGCGAAGCGCGCCCACTCCGGCGACGGGGGCTCCTCCTCCCGGCCCGCCGCCGGCTCGCCCGCCGGCTCGAGCATGGTGCGCCCCGCGTGCTCGCGGAGCCGCGCGTGGTCGCCGTCCTCGCTCGGCCGGCCCAGGGCCGGACACGGCCAAAAACGGGGGCGCCAAGCGCCCAGGCTCTTTTCCACCCAGACCTCCAGCGCATCGAAAAAGTCAAGACGGAGGTTTTCCTCGATGTTCGGCCTCCAGCGGCCCTCGCTGGGCCCTGCTGGGACCGTCAAAGAACGACTCAGGTTGAAAAACTGGTCCTGGGGAATGGGTCGAGACTTCCGGGGGCCCCGTATTGGAAAGATCATGACATCTGATCTCTGGGCACATGCCCCCGTTTGCGGCGCCCCCGTTTGCCACGCCCCCCCAGACAGGGATAGGGCCAAACAACATGGAGATCGGCGCTCCCCGGGCCCCCCTTTGCTGTGACCCCGTCTCTGGCGCCCCGACCGGCGCTGGTAACCCTTACTCTGGTTCCGCCCTATACCATGGGCGCTTTTGCAAGTGGGGCGAAAACTTCCGCCCTACACACTTTTCAAGCTCCTTTGATGCCGATGCCCACCCTACGTTTCGCCGTCGCTGTTTCCACCAGATGTTTTCGCATAGTTTCTGGGGCATTACTGAAAAAGTTTCCAAATCGGAAAATCAAGCCACATACAGCGGATATGGAGCCAGGAGAATCCAGCTGAGGCCCGTGATGGCTCCATCCCCAGGGCCCCCCTCTCGCGTGGTGAGAAATCATGAGGAGCGTTTTGATGCCTTCGACCTCTGGGGGTCGGCGTTGTGAGCAATAACATGCCGCAGTCGGGGGCTTGGGTCTGGCCTCCAACTTAGCCTCCCGTTGGGCGACGCTATAAGTCTAGTTGGAGGAAGTCCAGTTGGAGATGAAGAGCTATATTAAATGGGGCTCCAACCTTTCCCGACTTGGCTTGCCCATCGCCAAAAATCGTACACTGCCACTGGTGCAAAATCCTGGACCTCCAGCGCAATGGACACAAACAATAAACGAAGGTTGTTCGCTGTTCTCGCCCTCCGGGGACCCTCACTGGGCCCCAGGACCGTCAACTAACGACTCGGAACGACACGCCAGCCCTGGAAAGAGGGTCGGAAATCCCGAGGGCGCCGCAAATTTTCGTTGGATCTACGGGCCCCCAAAACCCCTATGTCATGATTTTTTCATGACGTGGATCCCCGCGGGAAACTCGACCCATTCCTGGGGACCGTTTTTTCACCCCCGACTCGTGTCTTGACGGTCCCGAGGGCCAGTGAGGGCCCCCAGAGGTCGGAAAGAGTGGAAAACCTCCCACCATTATTTTTGTCATGACCCGATGGGGAACATGAGTCAGGCTGACGCCCGAACTGGGCATGATGCCCAGCAGCGCACGTTGTCCAAATTCCGCAGCGGCCGCTGTTGGGCAGGCGGCCTACTGTCTCGCAAGGACAACCCCCGCGGCGGCACGGACAGCGAACCCGGTTCCGAATAAACGAAAAAAGCTGTTGGTAGTCGTGCCCATTCCTTCCGCACGGCCCGACCCAGGGCAGACGAGCATCGTTCAAGAGCATGAGACCCTCCGCCGGCCAAAACACACACAGAGAGCATCCAAGGGTACACCCTCCCCAGGATGCACAAAAACACCGCACAGGCACGAAGGACATCAGAGGGTCCCCCCCCCCGAACCGGTCTCGTGCGTCTACCTCGGTCCGGTAGCACCCATGTCCATCGTGCCGACAGAAGGCGTGCCCCCCTCCCCATCCTCCTCCTCCCACTCCTCCTCCCACTCCTCCTCCTCCTCCTCCTCCTCCTCCTCCTCCTCCTCCTCCTCCTCCTCCTCCTCCTCCTCCTCCTCCTCCTCCTCCTCCTCCTCCTCCTCCCCCGAGGATCTCGCGGGGGGCGTGGGGGCGTGGCTGCCCCCCCCCCCCGCAGCGGCCCCCCTCCGACGTCGCAGGGGTGGCCACGTCTCCGGCGCTCCGCGAGGCCCCCCCGCCTCGGAGCAGGTGGCTGCGGGCGCGGTGCCCAGACAGTGGAGCCGCGCTTCTGCTCTCCCCAGGCATGCTCGCGTCGTAAGACAATGCGGGGGGAAGGCTCCAATCCTTGGGCCCCTATGGGGCCCTCGCCGGGCCCCAGGGCCATCAGAAGCGGCTCGGGGTGGACAACTGGCCCTGGAGTGCACGGTTTCCCTCGGGGCCGCAGGCGACCCGAGGAGGAGGAGGAGAAGGTGGAGAAGGAGGAGGAGGTGGAGGAGGGGAGGGGGAGGAGGAGGAGGAGGAGGAGGAGGAGGAGGAGGAGGAGGAGGAGGAGGAGGAGGAGGAGGAGGAGATGGAGGAGGAGGAGGAGAAGGAGGAGGAGGAGGAGGAGGAAGAGGAGGAGGAGGAGGAGAAGAAGGAGGAGGACGGGTCGCCTAAGCCCTTCGGAGAAACCCTCTAGGTCGGGGCTTCCGGGGACCCCGTGCTGAAAAGCTCCAGACATCGCACGAGGTGGGTCCCCATGCAGAGGTCTCGATCTCTCTCTCTCTCTCGGCGACAGCTCTTCGCCTCCGATCCGTCTCTGATGGCCCCGGGGGCCAAACGATCCAACATCTTGGAGGAGAAGGGGGAGGAGGAGGAGGAGGTTGAGTTTCTCACATGCTGGGTCCCAGGAGAGTGGGCCTCCGCGAGGTGACCAATCGACGTCCAAAGCAGCCCAGTGTATCTGGCAACACGCACGTCGAATAGCGAAGCCAGCTGGGGTCTGACAGTGTCCCCTGAGATCCGACGTTGCGAACCAAAATGCAACATCGGGAAACATTGCGACAAGAACCCTGAACCGAATCTTTCTGCAGTAATTTTCGAGCCGGATCGATCTGTGATGGTCCCTAGGCCCAGAACAAGGCGAAATCACCCATTGTGAAAAACATGCGACGGCAAGATCTCGAGTACAGATTTTCTCAGTCGGTCCGTCTGGGTGGGCGGCCTCTCAATGCCCGAGTTCTGGACCCCGACGTCATGATCCTTCCATGACGTGGACTCCCAAAGGTCTGGACGCATTCCCCCAGCGACCAGCTTTCCGTCCCGAGTCGCTATTTCACGGTCCCGAGGGCCGGTGAGGGCTCCCAGAGGCCGAAAATAGTGAAGAACCTCCCGTCGTGTTTGTAACGACGCGATGGAGTCTGGCGTCTGGAGAGGCCCCCCCCCCGAAGCTCGGACCTTCGACGCCAACCGACGCTAGCCGACGCTAATCGACGCCAACTCGACACTGACGTGGCGCCTTCTCATCGACTACGAGACGCAAGCGCGCGCTATATCGGGAGCGGCCAAGAGGGGGGTGTCCAAGAGGGGGGGTGCAAGTCATGACCGGCGGCATGTGCGCGGCCCAGCGGGGGGGCCAGGGACGCAATGAAACAAAATGAGGCGCCACGAGACCCGGGGAAAGGTCATGGCCCCCGCCATGCTATCCCCCCCCCCCCTCGAGTCCTCACCCCCCTCTTTGCCGCCCCCGACTGTAGCACTCCCGCGATGGAGCTGCGAAGGCATCGGAGGCTCCCACGAGCTGCTGCCGCACAGTGCCCGAGTCCGCAGAGCTCGCCCCCCAGAGCTCGGGCCTTCGCCCGCCTGACGTGCTCCCGGGTGGGCAGCTCACGCCGGGCCGGCCCGCGCGCCGCGGCAGCCTCGGCACGGGGTGGCCCACATCGGCGGCGAGCCCAAAGGGGGAACTTCCCTAACAGTCCGATCCTTGAAGTTTAAAAGTGTTTGAAATCTGGAAAAAGTGTTCTAAACATGTGTTGAGCAGGTTGTTTATTACTTGATTAAAACATGTTTAAACACATGCTTTAAAATGGACATCTGGAACATTATTTGGCAACATGCTTCCTCTCCATTGACCGTCCTCCACAAGGGGGAAGTGAGAGGGGAACCCAAAGAGGACGCGCTCGCTCAACCAACACGAACGAGCCCCCCCCCGTGAGATCCTGGCGCTGCATGTTTTAACGACATGCAATTTCGGCTCGTTTTTCCTCTTGGACCCTCACACATCGGCGCGGATCGGAACATGGCGCAGAAAGATGGGGGCTCTGGCGATGGTACAGATTTTTCAAAATGCTTCAATTTCTCCAGATCCCCAAACGGCCCCACGCCCTGTGATTTAATTTCTATGTCTTCTCCGAAAACAGAAACGGCCTCCCGGAAGGCCTGGGGGGGTCCGAAAAGCCTGGCCGCGTTCGGACAAGGTCTGCCCCCTCTCGCTTTCCCCTGGGCTCGCCGCCGACTGACGAAGACGCGCGCGCCCAGTCAAGCAGTCGAACGCGCGCCGCCCCCCCAGACATCTCGGTGCCTTGCGGAACAAAAATCACGACGGCATGTTTTTGGCAAGCTCTGGCCTGAGAGGGCCTTCGCCAGGCCCCGGGGCTGTCAAAAGCGAAACACGACCAGGAGCATCCACCGCGACCAGAGATTCTCGGTCGCGACCGGGCAGAGCCGAAGCTCGGTAATGAATAGACGGCGCGTCGAAGTCAAAGCGAAGAAATCGAAAACGTCGACGGCGCGCCAGTTACCCGAACTCGCGACCAAAAAAAGAATTTCGGTCGCGACCCGTTCGTGGACAGCATTGCCCAACATTTTCGGTGACGGACTATCTGGGGATGAAATGCCCGATCCTGGGGACGCGGTCCAGACCTGTGGAAATCCCAGACTTCCAACGCCATGACTTTCTCATGTCGTGGACCCCCAACCGTCTTGACCCATTCCCCAAGGCCACTTTTCTCTTCCCAAGTCGTTTTTCAAGGACCAGGGAACCGAAAATAATGAAAAACCTGATGAGACCTGCCATTCATGACCCGACGGGGTCTGGGGTCCACGTTGCGACAAAGGTCATGACGCGTCGGGGGTCGAAATAGGATGTGCGCGTCCAGCCACGTCCACGGATATGCCGCCCCAAATTCGCGAGGCCGCCCTGAATGCCGCGCACGCCCGCGCGAAACGCTCCCTCGAAGCCCACGCGAGCTCAGAGATCTCAGCCTCAGGGGCCAGTCACTGGACCTAGTGGCCATTAAAAGCGGCTTTGGGGCTTTGGAATGAAAAATTGCAAGCAGAAAGGGACCCCCCGAGAAGCGGTCGGGACCTCCGGGGCTGGGGATCACGCAAAAACGCACCGTCGGGAATCAGAGCCCCAAGCTTCGCGGAGCCGCCCTCATGCAGCGAACGCTCGCGTGAGGGCACTCCTCAAAGCCCACGTGACTTAATGCCCACGTACACTAGACACCTACGGTAAGGACGAGCGCTGTGATAAATTGTGCTAGCCAGCGTTGAGCCCACACGATCATATCTTGCGATCTACGCGCTGCAGTCTAGCTGGCGCAATCAATGTAGTGCAGTCTAGGTTGTGCAATCCATGCGGTGCAATCTGCGTGGTTCAAAATAGTTTCTGTTCGCGTTGAATTGTCAATATCACCGCTCGAGCTATACTCCCACCAGCCCACCCGCAACTTGGTTTGCAAAACCGACGCGGCGGCCATTGCTCTGAGTGCTTGGTGTTGGCTGGCGCATCTCTGCGGCCGCGCTCGCCCGCGCAGGCTCGCGCGCAGAGCGGCCAGCTGGTTTGGCGCGACCGACGCTGCCGCGGTGGCGCTGCCCGCCTGCTCTTCCCAGCGGGCATTTCAGTGGGGTGGGAGTCGGTGACTTGGGCGGGCGCGGCATCATGGCGACGCCGACAACTGTAGACACGATTCGGATAGTAGCGATGACGGTGGCGATGGTGGCGATGACGATGGCAAGGCCAGTGACGGCACCGATGTTGATCACGCCCGATGGTAAGGATGACGGTGTCCTCGCGTCGGCGATGAATGTTTCTGAAGGAGTTCGACATGCGCACGCGACCAACGCGCGCGAGTGGTCCTCGTGGTATAATTTGACATGGATCGTGTCCCCCCCCCCCCGCACACGCGCAAGGGCGTTCGAATGAGTTCGACATGCGGCGCGAGAGGCCCGTGTGGCAGAAGTTCGTGAAATTGTTGGACAGCCGGAGGTTTTCTTAAAAATCCGTTGGAGCGCGTCCGCAAGATATTTTGAAAACTGATGTTGCAAAATCGTGCGTTGTTATAGTGTCGCCCGACGGACGACAGCAGTGAAGCCAAAGTGTCGGATCCTTTCTCCAGCAAGAAAACCCTCGCACTCTCTTCTCAGTACACAGCGCTCCCAACGCTGTACAAACAAGGCACGGAACGGTATGGGAAAGAAAAAGGGGTAGGGTGGATATGGTATGAGTGATGAGGAATGAGTAGAAGTTGGGTCTTGAGCCAAAATGGTTACGACCCATGCTCGTGACCTTCAAGCTCAGGGAGTCTAGCAGGGGCATCGGCCTTGAAAACCACAGGCCTCTAGACTCAAATCACACAGTACCCCGACAAACAGTGAGCTTGATAGGTCGCGAGGGCACCGTGGCCCTCCTCCGAGTCAATGGATCGCACCATCTTGGAGAGAGGAATGGGCACTCTAGTGCCATTTGCGTAAATACTGCTGCTGCCGTCGTGCCGTAGCGAGTCCTGACGACTTCGCTCCGGCCTGGCTGGTCACTGATGTCTCGCTCGGCCCTGACGACCCTCGAGACGTGCACCGGCCATGTCCCGCCAGACTGTGACGACTGTCACTCGGCATGGGACGGCTGAACAGCACTGGCCTTGCCATCGTTCTCCTGCTGCTGGAGTTGCCTCTGGGATTCGGCTCTGGAGCGGCCTTTCTTACGGGGGTCCTCGCGCCGGCCCTCGAGGGCCCCGCTTTCCGCCGAGAGACGCAAACGCCCAGAGCGGAGCAGCTCATATTGAGCCGCGTTGGTTTTGGCAAGGTCCGATTTCGTCATGCAATCGACCGGAAGTAACGGGCGCGGCATCCAACGAATCACGCTCCCGACCTTTTGCATGATATCCCGAACGACCGCGAGGTCGACCGCGGCCCGACGATCGGATCGAGAACCATTTGATAACTTGCTGAGGGTATCATATATTCCCTTGGCGTCGACTATGCTGACACACTCCGAGGGCGAGTGAGCGATCAGCTGGCAGTCTTCCTGCAAAATGGCCGCAAAAGGGGCCGACTTTCCCCTGCCATGCTTCTGACACCACGTTCCCTCTCACAACATCTTCGAACATGAGATGAAGCCACTGAGCTTCAGCAAGAGCTCCGGAAAGCGCCAGCGTCTCTCCTGCGAGAGTGCTCGCCACCTGGCGCTTGACTCGGCATGATCTCCAAGCTAGGGGGGTGGCCCTCGCACGTTGACCGTGCGCTAAAGCATTGTCTGCTAAATAGACCTGCCATGCTTGTTGTGGGAACATGCAGTCATCCGAGCCGACTCCCCCGCAGTCGCTGGCCGTCGCGAAAATGCAGCGGGAGGGGTCGAACTTGTGAACTATCACGGGCGTGCTGGCCGTGGACCTAAGGTGATCCACCATCTTATGTGCCTCAACCAGGTCTCTGACGCATGGTGAGTTCACTTTGGTCGCTAGAATGGACGCGCAGCCGGCAGCCTCAGCACGGGATCCCCGTCCAACCCAGTTCAATGTGTAAACCAGGCTTCGGAACTCCGCCACCTCCGTCCCAACCAGGGGACTGGAGTGATCCCCACGACGCCCCCTTGACAGCGGTATCTTGCGGACCTGCTCGAGAATGTATTTTTCCTGGTCCACGAGAATACGCGGTGTGGCGGTACCGTGTCCCACGAGTCGAGGCCTTCGACCGATATACTCAACTCCGGCCTCATCAAGTTACTCCATTTTTCCGAACGTGAAACGCTTCTTAAACTCGGTCAAATACTTGTTCTGTTGACCCGGAGGGAAAGCGATAGCCCAGTCGTCAACCTCCAGCAGCACCTGCGCGACTAGACGACCATTCTCCTTCCGGGAAAACCAGCAGGGCTCCAACTTGGCCCTAGTGAAACCTTGTCCCTCCAGAAACCTGGCCGACGTCTCATGAAACGCGAGAGGGGCGTCATCGAGCCCACACACAGGAGCAATGAGCTCAATGAGAGCTCCGGCCGGAAGGTTCAAGCCCTCGCAGGGCTCCACAAAAACCCGCCCCCTGGGCCGCTTAAGCGGATCGGACTGACAAAAAGCGTTCTTAATGTCGCCTATATGGACCTCTAAGCCATACATGAGAGATATGGCCAGAAACAGCATGAGAGATTCCATGGATGGCGTAGGGGCATAAACTTGGAGTTCAGCGGTGTCCTCATCTTGGTGTCCCCTCACGCACCAGCGCGACTTCGCCTTAGGTCGGGCCCCGACACTGCCTTGGGGTTTCCAGCGGCGGACCATCCGGCTCGAGACGACCCGATTGGGAAACAGCTGCCTAAGTTGACGCCCCTCGGCCGGAGCGTGAACTTTCACAGACTTGGTGGCAACGATCCCCTCCCACTCTTGCAAGTCAGAAGAGGCGAATTCCCTCTTCTCCTCGGGCGCGAGGTCTTTGAGACGAACCTCGCACCCTCGATTAGCTAACAGGGAGAGAGATAAGCCACCCGAGTCTCCGGGCAGAACTTCACAGTTGGCATTGCCGTTGTGATACTGAGCCCAGGTGCCACTCCACCCCCCCTCGTCTAAAGCTCTTTCCACGTCATTGATATACGACACGAGTTCCTCATCACTCATTTCCAGAAGCGCATCTATCTTCGCGTCATTCATCTCAA